TGGAAAAAAAAAACAATATCAGAATGGATAATATCAGAAGAGAAAAAAAAAAAAAAAAAAGGGCATACCTTTGAAATTTATTCCATGATTAGATGCCAATCGCTTCCAAGATAAGTTCGAGGTTTGGAATTGAATGCAAGTGGAGGATATGAAGCTAAGGGAATTCAAACTCATACCCGAAAAAGATTGCGGCGGAACGGGGCCTGACTTGCTGCGCGGGAATTCAAATCAAAAATTTGGTTGCGAAATGAAAACCTATCAAAACACTCAGTCTATAAACGGCTGCACTAGGAAAGAAACTGGCGCCTCCAGCTTGAAAATTGAAAAATTCAGACCCCGCGAGGAAAAAAAACTCAAGATAAAATTCTTCAAAATGGCTAAAATCAAGTCACAAGTCAGACTGAATACTTCAAGTGTGAGGATACGTCATAACATTTGAGAAAAGATTTTTTTTTTTTTTTTTCCCTTAATTTTTTTTCCACTTTTTTTTTCAAGAAATTTTCCCACATATAAATCTTTTTATTATATTTCAATTTAGAAAAGCTTGTCTGAGGGCAGACAAATAAGTTGGGGGAGGATGTGGTGAGATTGATCAAACTCATAGTCCATAAATAAAAGTACTTTATTAAACATAAATATTAACTAAATACTAGAGAAGAAGGGGTTGAATTATAGAATAAATCTCAACAATATTATTGGGTTAAATCATAGACAAATTATAACATGAATTGGACACAAAATATTCAATTCCCTACACATAATAATTATATGTATGGCCTATAGAAATAGATAGAAAGATACTGCATCTATCTTAGACTGGTAAATCAAGCTAATGATCAGAAAGTGCTTCACAGACTAGCTCTAGAAAATGACTCTTATACTAATTAGTCTAAGAATACCCTTATCATAGTAATTAATCTAAGAATAGGCATCTTATAGAAGAATTACAACCTCTTGTATTAGAAGGGCACTTAGAGATTAATTCATATCAGATTAGCCCATCTCAGAGTAGTAAAATCCACTCTAGAAGTACCTTTCTCAGACGCACTTGTGTTCAGGCCAAAATCTCATTTACTGCAGAACCATTTGTCTATAAATAGAGGCTCTTCTGGCCCAGGTTTTCCTCTTCCTTCCTCATGTTTGCACCAGAGAAGTAATTAGAGATATTACTTAGCACTCATCAAAACCAGATGCTAGCTACAGAACAGTAATCAGAGATATTACTCAGCTTTCATCACCCTTGATTAAGAGATCCAGAGATTATTAGAGCCCCTGAACTTCCCTTACCTCAATTTTGGCCATAGACAAGTAATTCAGAAATATTGCTTAGCCATTCTCACCTCTTTGAAAGATTTAGAGAAATCAGCGTACCTTTTATCAGAACCCAGAGAAACCAGAGAGACTTATAAGATCAGAGAGCCAGAGAGGAGTTATAACAGATTTAACAGAGAAACCCCACAGAAACCCTTATTACTCAGAAAACCCCATAAAAACTCCTTACCTCCCCAACAGGTATTCTTAAGCAACAACAACAGTAGTATCAACACTAAGATAAATTTAGAAATAAGCCACACTCTTATTTTTCTTAGTGTAACTTTCCCGCAAGCTAGACAGGAGGGCAGTCTCACCCACACACCAATACTAACTCTACTATTTCATAGTCTTATTAGCTATTTATCCCCTCCAAGCTCTTTACTCACTTGCTGAGCAGTTCCACAGCGGCTGCCCACGTGCATCAACTTCAAAGCACCAAGATCCGTCAACTTTGGTTGATGCCGAGGATTTCGATCTTTACAATTTGTACAGAGACCAGATCTTCAATGCCCACCCGCCAAACGTTCAATACCATAATAAGATTCCGGTCTTTATTGATCCAGGTGACCAAAGTTGTTACATCCTCTTGACAACTGGGAATGTTGATAAATGGGCATATGCCCTTGTAAGTAGATTGGAGCTTCATCAGACCATCTAAATCAGACATAACTGACTTCTGGTTTTTAGACAAAACCCAATACTGCAGTTTCCCTTCACTCGCCACCACCCGAACTCAAATTCAAGAAGTTATCTGCCTCAAAAAAGCGTAAACTAGATCACTGTTCAAGCTCGTGTACTCGTAGGGTCAGTTCCCAATCCGATTCCGATGGGTCTTCCGTAATCAATCCAGGAGTCAACTTGCTTGAGGCCTATCTCGAATTCATCAAGATCCCAGCTATTGAAAGGAGCGAGATTGCAAGGATTCTCACTGAACACAAGGCAACGAATCCTAGATTTTTCCAATCAAAGAACATCACCCAAGATGTGATGAAAGGCTGGGGCTTAGCTGATATATACATTGCTCAATTAAGAGACAATGTGAAGAAATTTGAAAAATCTAAAGCTTCTGAATAGATTAGTAAAATCTGATCACTTTTGTATTCTTGATTATCCAAATCACTCTTTGTCGTAGATTACCCTGAACAATCAATAAATTTGTAGCCTAACACAAACCTACAATACAAATCAACCAGATGCTTTTGATTAAACCAATCTCATTATTCTTCTCTTATTTTCTTTATCTCCCCAACTTGCCAGTACAATCATTATCCAGTCAATATTTGTTGAATGTCATACAAACAATTTACCTTTTGTAGTCTATTGTACTCAATCTTAACCACAAGCTAAATTTAGTCTAAAACACTCAAACTTAACCTAGTTTTTAATTTGTTATGATTGGGACCAATCACACAAATCTTTTTGATGCTCAATAATAAACCAAAATGAATTTAACAAAAATGTTATTGAAAAATTATCATCATTGAATTCAGGTGCTTTCAATAACCCCAGGCTCTATGCCAATAAATTGAAATGCAAACTAAAATTGACTGCATTCTGGGTAAGATAACAATGCTTCATATCTGAAATCAAGCTAATGGTCATTGAGACGAATGATTGGGCCTTAGTGATCCCAACCTGAACCAGATGTTATACAGACAACTTTTTTTGGACTAACACATCAATGCGCTCAAGTTGACTCTAAATGATGAAGACAGGGAAAAGTTTCAACAAGTTTGTTTAGTTTTGTGGGACACAGTACCCACAGTGTTTGTAAATTTTATAGCAAAAATTTGCTTGTAAGATCTCTGCTGTCACTCAACGTATCTCCCATTCTGGATCATCTGTGTGATTCAGAATTTGAGATGATCGTATTCTTTGTTTGATGGCAGCAAAACCAAGCTCAATCACATTCAACTCGGGGCAGTATGGTGGAAGGTACATGAGTCGGACCCCTACAGCGTCACAAAGCTGCTGCACACATTCACCACGGTGGTAACTGGAATTGTCACATACCAGAACAGAGTTGGTATCCGGGTATGGATTCATGCGAGGTAACTGAAGAATATTATGTTGTCAGATATGCTAACCAAGAGAAACAACACTGGGACTTACCAAGTTGTATTCTATAAAGTGCTCAAATCTCGGTCCATTGTAGTTTTGAAAAGTTGTAGTGAGGGCAACAATTCCATCAATGGAGATCGCTGGAAGCAGACTCAATCGGGCTGCATTTTTGTTCTTAAAAAATCTTGTGGCTGGAGTCCCTCGCTTCTACTAGAGCTGGTCTCTGGATATCCGTTGCGGATATCCGCTATCCGCTGGCGGATACCCGCCAGCGGATGCGGATGTCCACTTTCCCCTGAAATCCTGGCGGATACCCGGGTATCCCAGCGGATATCCGCCCATATCGGAGGGAAAAAAAGAAAAAAACAAAGAAAAAACAAAAGAAAAAAGAAAATAAAATAAAAAGTACAATAAGGGCCTTAATAAAAACCCAGTTTTTCATGTGCGCAGCACACGCGGATTCCGCATTTGGGTGTGTTTTTTTAATCAATTTTTACCACTTCTTTTTCATGTTTTGTTGAAATTTTGAATTTATTTCCTAGTTTTTAAAATGCATGGAACTTTGTGGTAATATTCAATTTCTTTAAAAATCAAAGGATCACTTTGAAAATTCCAATCAAACATATTTTTTCAATTAATTTCTTACAGCTTGTTTCTCAATAATTTTTGTTACTACACTTTAGGACATGTAAAAAATTATGGTAACAATCATTTTGCATCAAAATGAAAATTAATTCTTGAATATTGTATTTGGCATGTCTTTTTAATTAAATTCTTATAGGCCTAATTTTCATTATTTTTTGGAATTTTAAATTCATTTCCTACATTTTGAGAGGTTTCAAGTCTTATGGTATTATTCATTTTACCCAAAAATCAAAGGTCCAACCTTAATATATGAGTTTACCCCGTTTCTTGCATAATTTGTGCTGTATACCAATTTTTTTTGTATGCAAAACTGACATAACCATCAATTTTCAAACCTTTCAAAATTCAGGAAATAAATTTAAACTTACAACAAATAATGGGAATCAGGCCTGCAAGAATTTGTTAAAAATACATGCCAAATATAATATTCAAGAATTAATTTTCATTTTGATGTAAAATAATTATTACCATTATTTTTTACATGTCTTAAATTGTAGGAAAAAAATTTAAAATGTCAGAAAATATTGAGAAATAAGCTGTAAGAAATTAATTGAAAAAATGTGCTTGATTGGAATTTTCAAAGTGATCCTTTGATTTCTAAAGCAATTTAATATTACCACAAAATCCTACGCATTTTGAAACCTAGGAAATAAATTTAAAATTTTAAAAAAACATGAAAAATAAGTGGTAAAAAATTAATTAAAAAAAGAAAAAAGAAAAAAAAAATTGAAGGCTTGCAGGCTGCAAGAATATGAAAATTGCTGTTTATGCAGCTCCCAAAATCTGAAATTTCCCCGAGGAGCATTCATTTTGCACCCTAGGGGTCATTTAAGGGGCGGATATCCGTGGATATCCGCGCGGATACCCGCCAGCGCCAGCAGATACCCGCCAGCGGATGCAGATGTCTGATTTTGCTGAAAACGTGAGCGGATATCCAAATCCAAATGGATATCCGGATGCGCCGGGGCCAGCTCTAGCTTCTACCTAGCGTATGATTGGAGGCAATCCTTATCGCAGAAGGAACTCTCATCTGCCAAAACAAGCCAACAACAAATTCTTCAGTTGGCTGATAAAAAGATAAAAAGATAAAGTCAAACTCACCGGTAAAAACAAGGAACTCAGCTGGATAAAACTCCATCTTCTCCACAAAAGTGTACTTTGCGTAGAGTGATTTCCGAATGCTCTTGGTATCCGGTTTCTTCAAGGTTATTGATAGTTGTTCAACAAGATTCCGATGGATCCCCTCAACACTGAGCAGGACACCACTGGAGTCATACAATTGTTCCTGGATCTCGTCGAGAAACAAGCCGGGTTCAGATAGGACAAGCCGGATCATGAACTGGCATTCTTCATCGGAGAGACTAGCTGGTTGGCCACAGGCTTTGTACGTTTCGGGATCATTGAGGACACATCGAGTCTCTTCATAAAGTTGAATCCATCGGCCAAACGATTGCCGAGAAATGAAACTGCCAAGTAATTGGCAGATTTTGTCAAGAGATAGGCCCTGGATAGCCATTTTAACGGTGGCTACCTTGGTTGCTGGGGCGTGATATCGATAAACCATTGTAATCGTGGTGCAAGTGGGAGTTGAGTCTGGCGTTGTTGGGAGAAAACGGTCGGGCAGAGGCGTGGCGATGGCTACACCTGACAGATCACAGCCAGGTGGATCAACCCGGAGCTGTGTATGGCAGAAATCACAGGCATAAACTCCTGCTGTGCCTCTGAAGCACATAACCTTCACACTTGGCAAAGCTTGCTTTGTCCAAGCTTTTTTCAAACAACAATACCTATAAGACAGATCGAAATCTGTAGAGAGAGGATAGTTTATGTGATGGAAGAAATAAAAGCTGATCGGATAGAGATAATGACAAGTTGATCGTGAGGTGAGTTACAATAATGATGTGACTGGTGATAGCTCAATAAAGAATCGATCAGATGATCAGTCATTTGTTATAATCTTCTCGTGAGAATGATTGCATAAAGAAAAAATGAATCAATGATTAATTAACTTGACTTTACTTTTAAAAAATGGATAGATATCACGATTCTTTTGATAAGAAATTAAGAATGCCTTGGTTGGTTAAATAAACAATTGATAGGTTTTTCTAAAAGGATTCCAATCCAAAACAAGAGATGCATCAGATAGTCTTGAAGATAAAGCATATCTGCTAAACCAACACACTCACCGTTCAACGGCTCAGCTGTGTATTCTGCTTAATGCAGCTGGGGATCCGATCGAGAATGGTTGTTGGACGGTGGTAACGACTTATAAGGTCACAGCAGCCCAAGAGACACACAAAAGAGGAAGTGATCCACAGCACACGCAAACGGATTGAGCTATTCAATTTTAAGGCAAGGTGATTTTTTATTACAGAAGTTTAATGATGTTTAATGGTAAAGCAAAGATTTCGCCATTTAGGAAAGAAACCCTCGAGGCAAGTACAAGCTCTTAAATAATATGTTACCTAACTACAACCGAGTTACACTATCCACTTATATTGTGTTTCCACTAAATTCTTTACAGATTGATATGTAAAACTCTTTTTTTCTCCTTAAATAGTTATCTTGCTCATTTTTATATCTAAAATTCTTCTTCTTTGATTAAAATCAAGATATCGAACCAGATTTTCTTCTTCTTCTAAGAATACCGATATCTTGAATTTTTTCTTTTGATAAGTTATGTTACCTCATGTCACTGGTCTTTTCTCTAATACTGACTTCATTTTCATAATCATTTTTTGAATTTTGCAGTGTGTTGTGCCTGCTCGTTACAACGGTGAACTATTGAATTCAAGAAAGATTATGTATACATAGGTTTTCCTCCTTAATTAGGGAATCAAGTACCCTTGCAGCGCTGGGTCCAAGATGGTGGTTTTGAATGGTATTGGGGAATCCGGTGCTCGTTCCAATAGGGGGGTTCACGATAGCTTTTTTGGCTACTGGCCCCCCATAAAAAAATTCTTGCTGGTGCTGATTTTCTGTTAAAATTTATGCTAAATTTCCGAGCAAAATTTTGACCAACATCCATAAACACTGTTGGTCAATAAATAAATTTAATCACCCACATTTGGCCCCCCTGGCTTATCATCTGTGTGACATCGGCCATTGCCTCACGTGATACAGATTGTCACACTTCCTTCGGGTCTTCGATCACACCTCCCTCTCACATATCAACCACTGCCCCACGATTGCCCCTTACTGGATCGGCCCTTACCAGACTAGCCACTCATGTCCATCAGTCAGGTAAGCCAGTTGTACTTTTTCCTCGGATGTCTCTGTGATGGAAAACTGATCATGACTTTCTACTCGATTCCCTGGCCAGCTTGATCCAACCCTGTTAACACTTAGCCCATTAAGTGACCGTTTGGCACCCCCTCCTCCTGGAAGTCAGGCAAGCGGCCCCGATGTGACAGGCCTCACCCTTGCTTCCGACCTTTCGATTGTATCTGGAGCTCAATCGCCTCATCTCAACACATCGGCTGAAGTGGCTGGTGGGAAGAAGAAACGATACCGCCGAACTCAGAAGGAAATGGCAGCGTTTCTCTCAGAGCAGGCCAATATTAAAAAGATCAAGGCCCTTGAAAAAGCGAAGGAGAAGCGGGCGAAAAGCCGTGGTCGTGGTGGTACTTGTCGTTTAACCCAGACATCGGCCTCGGAACAATCACAGGCCAACTTGAATCAAGGCTCGGCCCCGGTGACATCACAGCCATTGGTCCCGGACCCCAACCCTCCATTCAACTCGGATGACTATGAGAATGTGTGTTCGTACCTTGAGGAGGAAGCGAACTATACTAGGCTCTATGGCGATGGTTCAAAGACATCGGTTGGGAAGAATAAGGTTACTAAGGGTGCGGCCTATGACATGTTTGCAATCTTTATCAACAGCAGTTCAAACCTTCGGCTTCGTCTGTCTGGGAGCCAACTTCGCCAACGGATCAATGGGTACAAGAAGCAATTCATGAAGGCCAAAGACTTCGCCAAGAACACCGGGGCTGGGATTGAAGAAGGCGATGGCCTACCGACTCTTGCCGAGCTGCTTGAGAAGAAATGTCCGTGTTATGAACGGATGTACGCTATATTTGGCGTGAAGGCGAATGTGACCCCTTTGGCGCAGTTTGACTCCGGTGTAGGTGCCAACCTATATGCCGATGCTTCGAACGTGCGGGACGGTGAAGAACCGACTTTATCGCCAGAGGTCTTCTACTCGGGATGGGAAGAGAGCGAAGTGGATCAACCCCCTTCGGGTGCAAATACCCCCGCAGCCGGCCAGGATTTGAACCGCTGTCAAAGTGCGATCGCTCACCTCACAAGCCTTAATATCCCCAACTCCGATGCGGAGGGGGACCTGGACGATGATCTCCTCCCCCCACCCCTGGACTTCAGTGGGACCGCGATGGATCCCTCGCCCAGCCTGATGACTCAACGATTGATTGCACGGGCAACTCAAGGTTCTGCTAATCCAGCGGGCTATAGTGGGGCATCGGTCCCTTCGGTCTCCCAGTTAACCACTCGAGACCCAGGGGGTCCTTCCCCAGCAAACGGAGTTAGTACCAGCCGCCGCGCGTTTGCTAATCAGCAATCGACCGAAGCCAGCCCTGCGGGACCGGTCCGAGAGGGTAATGGGAAACAGAAAACGACGTTGGCTAGTGCGTTCGAAAGCTCAAACACTGAGAAATTTGCATATCTGAAGGCGCACATGGAGTGGGAGAAGCAGAAGGAAGATAACCGACTTCAGTGGGAGAAAGAACAATACAATAAGGAGGCCCAACGGGCGACCGAGGGTGCTCAAGGACTAGCTAAATTGGCCGAATCAAAGTTGAACGCCGCGCAAATGTGGATCAACCAAGGCAAATCGTCGGCCGAGGTTGACCTCCTCTTGAAGGCAATCTATGGATGAGGATATCTGAGGTTGTGAGTCATCATCCTTCTTTGTTACTAAACATGTGGCAATGAGGCTGACAAGATCCTCTTGCGTAGTGGTCTGACCAAGCAGCCTTTAAGCCGCCTTTATTGGCTGGTCATCTAGAAGTCATATGGATCTTGTTTTCTCTTTTGATTTCCTCTTGTTCTCTCTTTTGATTTCCGTCTATATACAGGAAGGCTGGTCTATCCAAGCTGCCATTAGTGGCTCATCAGCTGGATTTTCTTTTCCGATTTTGTTTTCCATCTATGTCATCTGTCTAATCTCATGTTGCCCGGGCCGAGATATCCTATGATGTTACTTAACCGTTATGCAATGCGACTCAAATCACGAGGCGGGGAATTGCCTCCCATTCATGAGTCGGCCAGAATCACAGCTGTTTCCGCAAATCCATACACCCGGTTGTTTGGCCTTGTAAACGTCCTGTATCATACAGGATGGGTTGGCCTTAGCCAGGTGACAAAGGTGACCCGGCCTGGGTTTCACTTCACTACCTCACATACTCATCCACATCACCCAACCCCCAATGTCATCGGCACGACCATTCCAGCGCAGGAGGGATCCACCATGGGATCTAGACGGAATCAACCATGGCCCCTCGAGCAATGCCATCTTACTCCAGTGGATCTCCACCGAAGACAACTACCGCCGATGGGACCGTACGACTTTTGACCCAACCGAACGGCTGAATATCTGCGAGGAGATTGTTCGGCACATGCAAATGCAGGGAATAGCCCATCGACACGCCAGGGGTAAGATACCATCAAATAAACCGCCTGTCTGCTCGCACTTACCACATCACCTACTTTATGTTTGTCATAGGCATCAACACCCGCATTCAAATATTGCGACGGTCTTACAACACCGCACGTGAATTTGTCAATCATGCCAGAGGGAATACCAATGAGATCGCCCCCGTCATTCTAGGTTAGTGGAAATTCTGATTGCTTCATGTACAGCGGTGAGGATGCAACAGGGAAATGACTTCATTCGCGCTCATCACATGATCACCACCTAGGATATGCCCAGAGGGTTTGCCCATATTGGGATCTCCTGGACCCCGTGATGGGGGGGCAACACCCCCAATCCCATCAAGCCTACACATTGGCCGACAGCGAGACGTCCTCAGACACCGAATCAACCAACACCATATGATAAAGAAGCAACAGAATGAAAAATATAGTATTGTAACGTTGATGAGACTAAGAAAAAGATTGATTGAATTCCTAGTTAGAAGCAAGAGACTGAAAAAGAAGAATTCAGAGGTGAAGCCTTATGTGACAATAAGTGAGATAGAGCCGATCAGATTAAGATTAACTAAATTGGCAAAACACCCAACGAGTGGTTGATATCTAAACAGTTAGCCTTGACTACATCCCAAACCTCTTGAGCTGTTTCTTCATTAACACCGGGCCCATCTGATCCTGGATGATCATTGATGGAGACATCCAACTCAGCCCATGCGTCACCAAGATGGGCCAGGATGTTGTGCAATGTAACACAACAATTGACCCATCTAATCACTTCCATCATGTCCGAAGGTTTTTGAATCGCCAGTCGTAGATGTTGAAGTGATGCCCATTGTCCTTTGAGGATCCCTATTGTGTGCTCATTCCAAACGCGAGACCTTGCAAGACAGTAGTTGAAGTCGGAGTTTTCCTTGATGTAGGCCGCAGGAGCTTTGTACGCAGGGATGCAGTGTACGCCCAACTCGTACGCCGAGTCAGCAATCAGATATTGTCCTGCAGGAGAGCTCCCAATCGGTCAGTTACAAAATCACACAGATCTTCATATAATTAGCACAAACCTCGATCAAAGAACAAAGTAGGCTCCTTATGGAGCATCATCCGTTTAAAGACCATACTATCGCCACAAGAACCCGGCCAACCGGTCATGAAGGCAGTGATGAACCGGTCACAGTTGCACACCACCTGACAATTGATCGAGTAGCGCTTCTTTCGATCAAAGAAGACTTCTCCATCGATCGAGGGGCGCTGATAAAGAGGTATAGTTGTTCCGTCGACAAAACCAACACATCCTTCGAAAACTTCACACTTCATCACATCAGATATCTCCTTTCGTCGAACCTCGTCTGGCCAGGTAAGGTACTTCTCCGAAAGATCGTTAATTGCGCGGATGACACGGCGACTGGCCTTGACCACAGTACCGTGGCCCACACCCAAATTTCTTGAGAATCGCCCCACAGAGGCCCCATTACCGTTAGAACCAAGCCTTTCGAGAGTGAGTGCTAGTTGGTGAGGGATCGGCAGTTGCGGGCGAAAGCTGTTGCTATGAAATATAGGGTTTAAATTAACTTGGCTTAAAAGCCATGTAAAGCCGGCCTTGGTGGTACAGACCGCCTGCTTGAAATCCTCATCTTGCATATCAAAAAGCTGAGCCAAATCGAATTCGTCGCGCATCCTTGGGGGCAATCGGGTATGTAAGTACCGACTCGATAGGACCACCTGCAATAGATCTGATACCATAGACTCGTCGCCAAACATAACATCTAGTAACAATGCGCGGCCGGGATTATCGGGGGCAGCGATCCTTCCAAGGGAGGGGAGAACAGGAATGTTGATGGTAGAATCGAGGAGGTTGTCGGTCTCTTGCTGGTGGAGGAATACGAGCATCATGAACAGATCTCGGAGAATCTGTTGTCGTTCACTGTATTGATGCATCGGGGAGTTGATCGCAGGCGGCCAGCGTCGGTGAAAAACTTTGGTGAAGCGATGTGAAAGCTGTCAGTGGAGTGACCAGTGTAGCCAGGGTATCGTGAACACCCCTAATGAGGAGTCTTACTCGTGATTATTTCTTGTGTGTTAAAAATCAATTAAAATCTTAACATGTGCAGCATGCGCAACCTTGCTGGTGGGTGATTAAGCTTTGCTAGTCAAAAGCTATCGTGAACCCCCCTAATAGGACGGTTCACGTCTGAACTTTGGAGCAAGTTTTATAGCATTTATCATTAAAATTTTCCAAGTTTGTCAAAAATCTCAAATTCCTCCAAGCCTGATGATTCATGAGATTTGACAAAATTAGTAAAATTTTATCCATAAAAGTGCTAAAACCTGCCTTGAACTTCAGACGTGAACCGGCCTAATGATCGAAGCAGCTCGCCCCATCACACAGCAGAAAAAGGTGAAACCTCTGATCAGGGAAGTCTTTCCCGATTAAATATTATTTTAAATCTGAGAAGGATTACAGGTCAGATCTATGAGCAGGGATTTATTTAGCATAAATAATTCTTCTAGAACGAGCAGTCTAAGCGCCAGTGAAGGTACTTATTGTAGCGGTACTACAAAAGTGCATGTGAAGTGCCACTACATAGTACTCTGGATTGACCCCATGACTCATTCGAGCAGGAAGCGGGGGCCTGGCGCGACGGCGATATTGGCCATCGGGCTCTCTTATAAATGCAC